AATGCATTAGTAATTAATCAAAATAATATAGTTAGAATTTGTCTAAATAAATTTACTGTACAAACGCTAACTATAAAGAATTTGGTATATTGCCTATAAGGTTTTTATTAAACAAATTGTAATTATGTATTTGGTAAGAAATTTAATTTAAATAACGATCAAAAGGAGTAAGCAACAAAAGGAAAATGAAAAATTATGATATGACTGTTAAATATGCGAATACTTCTTTCGGTCAAGTTTTGTAGACTATCAGGGTCCAACTTCTTTCAACTCTACGCCCTATGACTTTTAGAAAAAAATAATACATGGTAGTGGAATTGTAAATATTAAAGATCTAACATACAAATATTTATTCTTTGAATTAAACAAGGATTTACGGTAATATAACCCAATTTTATTTCATTATTTTTTCTTTATTGTACCTATACCTATAGCACATATTTTTGATTTGTTTTTATTTATTTATTTGCCTTTAACATTGTTATTTAGAAAATAAGCTAGTTTATATATTTTTAGAGTTGTTTCAAGATGTATTTAAAATTTTTTTTTTTTTGAAATTAAAATATATTTACACTATGTTCTTATTTATTATATATACACATAGATTTTGTAACAATAATAGCTCCTTGTCTCCAACACAAGGTGCACAAGCTTACAGGAGGTAAGTTAATCAATTCTGTAACAAATTTATTTTGATGTTTATTAAATGTTTTGTTTTTGATATCTAAATGAAAAAAAAAAATCTCTTGGTTCCGTTGTTTCGTCAACAATTATGTAAACGAAATCATTTCCAATCAAGATATTACCGAGATACCAATTATGATAACTGTTCAGTCTTACCCTGGGAATGGTTTAAATAAATTCCAATAAAAATCAATGTATTTATTATTGAAAAGTGAAAACCATGTGTGTATTGTGTTCGTCTATTGTGCGAGATGAGACTGTCAGTGACGAGCAACCATGTGAAAGTGGTTACTACATATTACTGATTAGTTGGTCGTGAAACATAAATAATAATGATAACACAACATATTATGTTTGATAAATTATTAAATAAAATACATCGTTAAAACAAAAAAAAACATTTATGATATAATGTGTTGCAATATTTTAATTTGTATAGGTTGTATCCAAATATTCCAAATAAATACTGCATAACTATAAGTCTGTGACTGACAAATGTTTTCAATCAGTCATTAAGTAGGTAATTCGTTATCGTTCCAATCGTGGTTTTACCTAATCGCGAATCAGGGTCTTTTGCACTGGTTAATATCTTGTACATATAATAGACATAATAGTATATTCTATTATGTCTATGGTTAATTCAGATGTGGATAATATACTTTTATTTATTACAATATACCAACTATGCAACTCCTTATTCTAGACCGTGGTAAAATTTGAATCTCTGTAAATACTGCAAATTATACTACAAATAGTGCAAGTAAGAGTAATAAGACACTATGTCAACACTATATTTACATATTTTATCTATTACAGATAGCCGATAGGCAAGGATTTTAAAATTATATTTTGTTTCTTAAGTTTTCAAAAAAAGAAAAAAGTTAATACTGTCTGAAATGTGAGTGATCCCAGTTGAGTGAATCACTCTGAATAGGGTAATTAGTTTAACAACAAACTAAATTCAAATTTTACGCTTTTTTTTCATCTCAAATGTTTGATCATTTTTATGGATCCGAACAAAGTTTTATTCACATAAATCGGAAATTATAGTAATGCACAGACTTGAGATTTTATTTAACCGTAAAACTCATAATCTTAAATTATATAATTGATAGTTTTCACTGGGTTGGAAAATGTATTTATTGTATTATTATAAGTGTAAATGTTGGTTGATGATTCTCACACCAAAACAGGTGGGTGGGTGCATTTTGGTGGATTAATTCATCATATTATAATTACTATCGTTATCATTTAAAGGTTATCGATTATACCGCAATATTGTAGGTATCTACTTATAGTCTAGACTCTAATGCTGGTTACACACGGAGCGGTTTGGCCGGGCACGGTCGCGGTTTTTATACGAGTTATTCAAATGACATATTTTGAAATCTTATATTATTAACGTTAGAGTCCCATAATCTATAAACATTGTCAATGTTGTCGCTGTGTTTAAAGACGAATAAATGTTAGTTGCGTTATTATTCTAGTCATATTTACGTATCTGTAAAAAAGTTTTTTTTATTTTTATTTAATCGGTTATAACAGTACTACTACAAAGTATTAAGTAATTTTAGATTTTAGATTTTTTTTGTTTTTCTACAAACGTTTTTCTTTATGTATGAATTATATGGGTCGCGAATAATGTAGGCCTAAAAAAGTGGGTCGTGAGTCCAAAAAAGGTGAAGACCACTGATATAGACTGTAATAATTATGTTGAATCCTAATATAATCATTATAATCATTATACTTATAATACAAACTTTTAGAGATCAAAATAATCAATTTCCTTTCCATACAATATTATTCTAATAATTATACTTATTACTAATAAGTATACCCTCAAATAGATACTTACAAAAACCAGCTGCTTTTATCGCTAAATCCTATGGATTCGATAGGTTCACAAATGATAAAACATAAATGTCGGCTATTTAATTAGGACCACAACAATATAACGTGGATTTTACAATATTATACAAAAAAAATTAACCTATCTCAGTGCTTATCTATGAGTGCGTGTCCCCCCCTAGTAGATTATCGCATTTAATTATAAACATATTGCATTATTGATTGTTATCATTGCTCGTTTGGAGCGAACTCGCAGCCATTCATAACCATAGAGTAATTATTGGCAGTTATTAATATTTAAAAATAACACCGTAATATCAATAATATCTCTTTTTTCCCTTGTTTCAAGTTCAAATTTTATCAAAAATTGTGGACGTACTAATTTACTGACCAGACCAAACTGCCCCGACCCGGGGCTCCTCGTTCTCCGACCGCGCTGCGATTTTGAATAATCATCCACAGACAACATAGTCGAGTAGTCGACATGTCCAAAAATCAGTTTCCCATTACCAAAACAATAGATTGTTTTGAATTAATTATGCACACCGATAATAAACACTCTTCCGCCGATATGCATTGTCGCTGAATACGAAAGATGTACGTACAATTACTGTACTTACGACCGTTTCACACGAAGCGAATGAACGCGACTTAAAATCGCGGCGGTTTTTAATCGCAAATTTCATTTCGGTTTCACACTAGACGATTGATCGCTCGATACGAATGACCCGCGAACGTTATTTTCCACCAATTTACGAATCAAACAAACGACTGATCTTTTACTTTGCATTTAGTCGTGCGGTCGTCGTGGTTGTGTGCTAGTGTCCATTTGCCGTCATTCAGTACATACTTTCCCAAGTGTAATATTATTTAATCAGTCGGGTCATTACATTTTTTTTTTTTTAAATTGAAACATTGAACACTATTGTACTGGTGTACGTTTTGAACTATTTTATTTTTTTTTAAAGTTAAACGTTTATTAAAACTGTTAAAGCCATACTAAAACAATACAATTTCATCAATATTAACCGACCGATATAGACGGTGGTGATCGATGTTCGAACGATCGCGTCGGTCACCGAGCCGTGCGTTTGAATTTTGGCCGACCGCAGCGTTCGTCTAAAACTGAACAGGAGCGATACCTTGCGATTGTTCGCGACTTGTATCCGGGCGATTATTTTCGTGTGAGAGTACGTTGACAAATATGGCTATTTTAATTTCCAGCGAATTTTCGCTTTTCTCGTAAATTATTATATTTAATGTCATACTACGTAGAATTATATCAGTATATGAAACATATACTGCGATTTGAAATCCATTATACTATTATAAAAAATTATTTATACATAATATATTACAATAATTTTCAAATTATATTTTCATTTATTATTTTTCTAAGTTTAATAATTAAACAATTTGTATACCTTATATAGTTGTATAAACTTAATTTTTATTTTAAAAAGAAAACTTATTGTGATCCAATTTTTAAGCTTACGCGACCCAGAAATCGGTTGAAGATCACTGGTCTATATGAACGTGACACTTTTTTTATTACATGCTGTTATATAATAAAATATATTTATTTCGGCATTATCTACTGTTAAGTTATTCAGGTTTAATTGTAAACTTAAGTACTGAATTTTGTTTGAAATGTCTGGATTAATCATATCAATATTATCCTCAATTAATATGTATGTTAATCATATCAATTTGTTTGACATCATAATTTTATTGAATTTAAATAGTGCACCAAAATTGATTTATTTATTTCAAATTAACAGAACAAGCCCTTTAGTATAGTATAGAACACATAATATAATAGGTATTTAAAAGTAGGTACTTACAAAATTGTCACAAGGTATTACTGTTTAATTTGTATTTTTCTTAGGAATTTATTTGAACACTATTCTAAATTGTCTAAATTAAAAAAATAATGTTTCATTTCATTAGGGTCTTGGGAAAAAAATTATATTTTAAAATATACCTAATATATGAGAACATTTGATTTTCCTAAATTACTAATTGGCTACTGAAAATACTTATTTGAGGTCTAATGCAAAACCCATAATAAATGTTTTTTTTCTATGTATAAATGTAACTTTAAGTATAATTTATATTTTCAATATGAATAAATAATTCGTTAGATAGTGCAATAATAATAATAGACTAAATATTCCAGAAAATATTCTCTTTGAATGGAAAAAATCAGTATAACGCTTGAATTTTGCTTTTTATATTTTTATTTTATTCAATTTATTTACAATATTTACAATATAAAATATTTCACAATGAAGCAGTCCCGAATTGTATGGAATAAAATAATCTTTGTGGTTCACTATGCACAGTTCATGAGTTTTTCACAGCATTTTCATCATTTTACTTGAAAAAAAAAAAACAACAAAAATGTTAATAATTTGATAGTTAATACATTTTCTGCGTTTAATATCATAAATTATTACAGATGATACTTACAAACTACACATGGTACATGAACACTCCCCACTTGAGAAATAATTTTCGCCATAATGAAGTATAATTTCTTCTCCTGGTTCGATAACTCTGGTTGCTTTGACACAAGCAGAGTTAGCATCTAGAGAATTCATTACCACATTGTTGTTTTTGCATCCGTGGTTGATGAATGCAGCAGGACCTAACCATAATTTCTGTTGTTTCTTTTGCATAGTTCTTACCAGAAATGACTCGACTGATGGATAAGTTTTAATGAATGAATCATCAACTGTGCATAGTGTACCACCAAGATTCTGAAGGATTTCATTATTACTAATTCGGGACTTAGCCACAACCTTTACCCCCATACCATAATCCTTATGATACAAATTACCTATCGATACAAATTTAAATTTTGATTCAACAGAAAGAGCATTTATATATAAAAGCTGATGGGATTTAATAATATTAAATTCCTTTGTAGATATTTGTTCCATTATATCAAAATTCACCTCATGTATCTTATGTGTGCTAAATCCTAAAGCATGATCCAGCACAAAAAATGTAGCATAATTTTCGGCTACACATAAAATTAATGCCATTCGGTTCTGAAAAATAGAAAAATTTACTAACTTAAATTAAACTAAAATAATTTAGTAGAGAGAATTGATTATTTTTATTTATTGAAGTTGTTTCACAAAAAAAAAAATATTATAATAAAATATTACATTCATTATCTATTTATTTCCATATTTATCCCTAAATATAGGCAGGGGTCACAAAAAATTATAATTTCTTATACAATATAAGATTATTATTAAAATTATTTACATTGTATATTTTTTATTAATTATTATTTAGTAGTTTTTTGAAAAAAATTTAAAATTGTTTAAACTTAAACAAATTGTAGAAAATTAATGACTCATCATTAGTAAAGATTTGTAATATCAACATTTTGTTTTAAAATAAATGTATAAAACGATTATCTTGGATTTCAAAAGGAAAATATATATTACAAGAATACAGTAATTATTCAAAACAGAAAAACTTTAAAATAATGATGCGGACCAGAGTTATTTCTCAGATCTCTAAAGAATTGCCTACAAATTAAGGGTAATATTTCGAAAATTGTAGGTATATTTTATTAAAAACTCTAAAAGATCTAAAAGTAGTATTCAGACTAATGCAATTAGTTGAATATAAAAAAATAATATAAACATTACTTCCCCCACTCATCAAGGATAGCCATTGAAAAAGTCCATCTCTCCCCAACATTAAGTGTGACAGAAACCTAATCAAAGAGTCAAATTAAAATGTATAGACCTTACAAATATTAATAATAATAATGATAAAATCGAATTAACATAATTAATTCTCAATATTTTTTTCTTAATTAACATTAAAGTACTGTACATCTGTACTTCAAATTGTTATCATTATTATTACTATGATTATTACTACTATTATTATTATTTACCTACTATTATATTTTACATACAACTTTTTTTCATTTTTTTTTTTCATATTAGATTTTATACAATTAATATATAACTCAAAAGTTGTTGTTGGACTTGGCCTATTTATATACATATAAATAAATAAAATAAAATTCACCAACTTTTTGAGTGTTCAATGATGGCAAATTGGTGGTAGATTTAATCTGATGACTGCCAGACTTTTTCTCTGTCATTTTTTTGTAACTTATTATAAATAATAAAGTACAGAACTACTGCAAATAAAATGTTTAAAATTAGTTATACTTAACAAAGTAGATTTTGTATATTAATGATTCCATGAAAGTATAAAATGTTCATTTGATTCTTTAAATAAAATAAAATAATAAATATTAAATTTAATAAATGAATGGGTGCTATAGTACAGCCAGCGTAACTAGGCGGGTGACATTCATGCATTTGGTGACAAACTTCTTGTAGGGCTTCCACAATCAACGCGTCACACTCACAGTGGCTGGTTGTGTGCATATTTACATATAGAACATTTTAAAATCCCGGGCTACATGTAAACGGACATCATTTGAGCGAAGGTCATCAGCCTAGTTTTCCTGGCTAGACTGTGGTCTAAATTAAAGCTTTTATACCATTGTAAAGTAAAGGTAAAGTAAGATAAAGTAAAATTGTCTCTCAATCATGGTTTTATGTAACTATTATTATTATTATATATCATGGATGTTTCCCCGAGAATACTTATAAAGATTTGACTAACATTTGAAAATTTTGAGTTATAAGTAGATATAAAAATGAATGTGATTTAATCTAAATGACGGATGCTTCACACTCATGCTACTTATATAAATACTGTGCACAGAAGTCATCATATTACTTCAATATAATATAAACAATGAATACGTTGTATTTGTAACATCAACAAAAAAAGTAATAAAATGAATCTTGATGAGAATTTATAAACACCGAGAAATGCTTCAAATAAAATTCCATCAACAAAAAATCCGCATTTTTGGGGGCATTTTGAGCATTTTTACTAATCGAAAAAGTAGTAGTGTCCAGGTTGAGATAAGATTAATTGAAATTAGAGATGTTCCCGGTAGATAACTTGTTATAAACCGGGTACCGAGTATTGGCCGAGTAAAATTTTTAATACTAACCGAGTGTCGATTATTGGTTGAGTAAAAATATATATACAAAATGGGCATTTTAAACATTATAAACTAGCACTTACCGATTGAAAAATGATTAATAACCTACTAAACTGACTATCGTAAATTTGTTGTCATTCCAAAATGTACTAAAATAAATTATAATTTATTACTTTGGAATTTTAGATTTTTCCAATTATATTAATAATTAAAAGTATACATAAATATTTATGTACAGATTATCAACGTTTGCCAGTTACCGCATGTGTTGAGTAAAAATGTAGTAGATATTACGGTTGTGTAAAAATGTAGGTATTATGATGGTACCGAGTATGGGCCGGGTAAAAATTTAGTATTACAACGGCTACCGGTTAATGGCTGTCTTAAATATGATACCGAGTACTTGACCATCGAGTAATTTCCAGGTACTCGGGACATCTCTAATTGAAATATAATTTATGTTAAACAAATCAAAGTATTTTTACCTTATAATATAGGTGCAGTAATGTACCGTAGTTTGTAAGTAGTAACACTCGCAATATTCAGCTTAAAACTTAAATAATTGCAAGAATGCTTGTTATTGTATTCGAAAAAAACTAACTTATTAAAAATTTAACCTTACCGTTAAAACGAGTAAAATGTATTGTACCAATGCGCATATGTCTCGGGTGTATCCAATCAGAATGGACTAAATTATTTATCAAAGAGATTGTATAACATGGATATACCACTATACCATGGTTTGATAGAACAGGTCCATAAGGTCCTTATCAGGTATCTACTTGTTAAAGCAATTGTTGGTCATACTTAACACGGTTACACGGTTTACTGGTTACACTTATTTGAGGTTATAAATTTAATACTTTACCATAAATTACATGAGCCCCTAGAATTCCACCAAGATCGTGTACAATTACATTATCAGTGCCGGCCCCAGGCGGACAACCATTGCTAGGGCGCAAAAACGATCAATAACTAGTTATCGAACCGATTAAACATCATAATCGGTTTGATAAAGTGTTTGGCTATTGATGGCTTACGTATTTATTCTCGTCACCTGATAGCCGCTACTTGTTTACTTATTGGTTATTGTTTACAATTAAACCTGAATAACTTAACAGTAGATAATGCCGAAATAAACATATTTTATTAAATATTTATTATATAACAGAGCATGTAGTAAAAAAAGTGTATCGTTCTTATAGACTGTAATAATTATTTTGAATCCTAATATAATCATTATAATCATTACACTCATAATACAAACTTTTAGAGACCACAAATTATCAATTTCCTTTTCATACATTATTATTATAATAATTATACTTATTACTAATAAGTATACTCTCAAATAGGTACTTACAAAAACTAGCAGCTTTTATCGCTAAATCCTATGGATTCGCTAGGTTCACTAATGTAAAAACACAAATGTCGACTATTCAATTAGGACCACAACAATTTAACCATGGAGGCCAATGTTTGATTTGAGAGGACGTGGAAGAACGGATTCTCCTTTTTTTTTTTCTAATAAATTTAAATTTAACAAAAATTACATTTTTAATAATATTAATATTTAGAACATTAATATGAATTGCTTCATCAAATTAAATTTCAATATGAATAGGATTAAAATTAAATGTATTCACTATTTTACCAACTTTAAATCATCAATTGAATCTTCAATAAAATATATTTTAATCAAAACTTTTGCTTCAATTTTATTAATTAAACTAATTAATAAATCAATATTTTTTTTAAATTTATAGACATTTTTTAATAAGTATTCCTTTATTAATTTAATTTAGCTTAATGCCATTTCATATTTGATTACCTTCTATAATTGAAGGATTAAATTAAATGCTATTTATTATATATTTTATTTAATTGACAAAAAATTAGCCCAATAATTATAATTTCTTATGTATATATCAATAGAAATTTAATATTTTTAATTCCATTAATTATAATTTGTGCCATATTAGGAATAAATCAAAATTCCATCAATTAATAACTCAACTATTCTATTTTAAAAAATTATAGAATTAACTATATTAATCAAATACAATTTTTTATTTAAATTAAAATATATATTAATACAAATTTTTTCAATTTCAGGATTACCACCTATACTCGGATTTTTAATAAAATGAATATTAATTTCTTTAACTATTGTACATTTATATTTTTATTTAAAATTAATTAATTTTTTATTATTTAATTTTAATGTATTTAATAAATAATTTTTACAATACAATTTTTATAATTATATTTGTTTTTTTAAATCTTTATTATTTAAAAGATTTTATGTTATAATTATAAACTATTAATCTTCAAAATTAAAAATATAAATAAAAATTGTAAACCTTAATTATTATTTAAAATTAATAACTTTAAATTTGTAATTTAATATTATAATTGAGTATAAAAATATAATAAGTAGTAAAATAAGGACCTTCATATAGTGTTTGTGGACTTCAAATAGGCATACAATAATCATTCATGAATAACTGTGGACAACACTAAGAAACTTTGGCATACCCAATAAATTAGTGAAACTAAACCAGATGTGTAACGAACAAACTTGTTGCAGAGTGCGTTTCTTAAAAGAATTATCATCAATATTTGAATGCGAGAAGGGCCTGAGACAGGACGACGTACTGTCCCCAGTACTGTTCAATCTAGCTCTGGAAAATGTGGTGAGAGATATACCAGACCTCAAAGAAATAGAATTAATAGGACCTTGCTCACGGACGCAGATGATATAATTTTACTAGGAGAGTCTAGAAATAATGTTGAGGAGAGTGTAAGAAAGCTAATAAAATTTAGCTGCAATATGGGTCAAGTGATAAACGAAAACAAGACAAAATATATGGTGATGAATAGGAATGCAACTGTAAAGGAAAATCTACGCATAAAAGGAATAAGCAGGTAGGGGACTTCAAATACTTGGGAGTTAACATAAACGAAAAGAACAATATGCACTAAGAAATTAGGATGAGACTGAATATGGCAAACAGATGTTACTTCACAATGAAAGAAATGTTTTTCTCAAAGTTACTGTCCAGACATACAAAGGAATGATTCTACTGTATGTACTTGATATCCATAGTACATATATGATACTTGGTCTAGCACTCAAGGAGATAAAGAAAGACTACAGAGTTTTGATATTTTAAAACAAATTTTAGTTATTCCAGTCACTAGTTGTTCTAGTGAGTGATCATTCTCAAAACTTTTGTTAGTTAAGTCAAAATTGCTGAATACAATGAAATAGGATAGACTTGATTCTTTACTGTTATTATTTGTAGAGCAAAGCCTATTGACTCAAATTTACTACAATGATGTCATGATGTCATGATGTCATTGAAGAATTTAAAGTATAAGTTCCCGGGGAAAGACGTCTAGCATTGTGTTATTGAAATTGAATTTAGTGCTATGACTAATTTATTTTATTAGGTTATTACTATCATACAATTTTTTTATATCATTATTACATAATATGTATTAATGTATTGTACAAAATAAATTGCATTTTTGTATCAATCAAATAAATTTTCAACACTGATGAAAAAGTGCTATTATTATAAAGCAAATATAAGTTTTCTGTCCAAATGTCAAGTCTCTAGGAATATTTTTAACTGAATTACAACAAATAATAAAATTGATAAAATAGTAAAAGCATTGATTTCGTAAATTTCCCGTTTTTCTTATGTTTTATTCTGGTTTTTCCCAGATATTATAAAAATCACTTAAAAAATCAAAAAATGACCTCCCAATAGTAAATAGTAAACAACATTCCCTTTCAGAAATGGGGCCACGCATATATATCTTATCAATATTTCTGATAGAATTTTTGTACAGAATATAAAAAAATAATAATAATCTTCGCTATACTCAGAATCTAAAATTATAAACGATGAAAACACATTTTCGTCAACATTTGGTATTAAAATTCGTGTAAAAAAAATTTGAGTGTAAACTAGAATTTTTTTATTTTTTTGACTACAATGTATTACTTATAATGAACCTCCATTAAATTTTCAAGCATTTCTATTTGGTCTAACAATTTTATCTACTTATCAAATAAAAATCTCTCAAAATGAAAATGTCTATAAATAGTTCATAAATGGCCAAAATGTTTTGGGAATTATACCAAGTCTAGAAAACGTATACATAAGTTTCTATCAACATTTTAAGTCGCTATGAATGTTTTTTTTTTTCTTATAATTTCTACGTATTTTTTTGTTTTGTTCAATTATTATGAAAATTTCCAAGAAAATCGAAATCGAATTACTTAAACACAAACTAGATTAAAAATTCAACAAAAAAAGTCTCTTGTCATTTTTCTGTTGGAACAATATTTATGAAACATAAGTCGCAGACATTTTAAATAATTAAATTGTTGCACCGTAATTTGAAAAAAATCGTATTTTTTATTTTTTCCAAATTATTTCGAAAATCAGTTGGAAAATCGAAAAACATAACCTTTCTATTACACCAATTAGGTAAAATTTCTTTTCTTTAAAGATTTTGTACCTACTCTGTACATTGGAGCAAGATTTTTTTTTCAAAAAGTTATTTATAGACAGAAAAAAAGACATCATAGTAAAACCAATAAATCCCTCATCGCTGTACGCTCCGAATCTAAAAAATAAACATTATTATAAAAACAATACATTCCTCTCTTCGCTCATAATCTAAAAGTTATAATAAACATTAAATTTATGTTTTATTATGCATCATAATATTGTGGTGAATCTAAAAACTGCATCCGAAAATTTTAAATTGCACGATATCGATAGGTAGGTACTATAAATTACAATAATCACTGATTACAATTCGCATATTATAGTGTATTCAAATTTATTATGCTTGGCTATTTTAGTTTTTGGTTACAATGCTTGTTCATGACAAATAATTGTTTGAAAAATTGTTTATTTTTTAATTTACATGTAATTCATAACTTTTGTTCTATTCAATATTTTTGTTATATTATTTTGTAAATAATTAGTAATGCCTCTGCGCTACAGTTTGTATATGAATATTTTTTTTAGGGAGAGGGAGACATAAAAATAAAGATTTTACTATAATTTTTTTAAAAAAAATTAAAAATAGCCATTTTGTAAAATATATTTTTAGAACATTTTGGTTGTTGAAACTTTTATTAAAGTATGGTCTTTTATTTTCTACGATTTTTTGAAAATGTTGAATACATAATTTTCTTTTTAATCATAACAATTATATTGTTTAATAACATAAATGACAATTTTTGGTTGATTGATACTGCCTAATATCTATAATATGATAATATTATTGCATGATATTAACTGATGGAAAAGAAAATTCTTATCATGTGCCCTGACTATTATTGATTAAATATTGTAATAGAATAACGACAATAGGTAATATTCACATTTGTAAAAACTTCAAAAGATCGTAGAAAATAAAAGGCCATACTTAAATAAAAGTTTCAACCACTAATAATTTTCTAAAAATCTATTTTACAAAATTTCTATTTTGAATTTTTTTAAAAAAATTAAAGTAAAATTTTGAATTTTTATGTTAACGTTTCATGTTAAGCCCCACCCCCTGAAAAAATTGTACATACATAAACTGTAGAGGAAAGGCATATTAACTAACTATTAAAAAAAAAATATATATTAAAAATATTTAATAGAACAAAAGTTAATTTAAGTGACAGTTCATCGTGGGACACTCTGTATATATTAAGTGTGCGTATTAAAAAAGACGTCCTAGGATAATGGAGACGGGTGTAGCTACTGTTATAGGTAATTTAATGTATACCTGTAACCAACGATAAACCATTGCTAACCAAAAAAAAAAGATTTTGAGTGGAGTTCAGTTGATAGCGATGCTTTATCAACAATATATATATACATGTCATACTATAGTAAAATAATTAAAAAGGCTTTATATATTTTCTGTAATAATATTTATTTAATGTTGTACCGATTTTCCTAGGTTTTTCCTCTTTTCCCCACGTTATTTCCGGTTTTTCACATTTTCCGAGATATTATAAAAACCGCTTGGAAAATCAAAAAACGACTTCCCAATAGTACTATCTGAACAACATTTCCTTTCAGATATGGTGCTGCACGTATATATCTGAGCAAGATTTATGGTCAAATTTTTGTACACAGGATATAAAAATGAAAAAAAAAAAATAATAATAATTTGATTTTAATAATGCAATTTTATTTTATGATCCAACAACTCAATAAGTCACAAATAACATACAACATTATTTAAAAACGTGTTGTGCATACCATTTTGTTTTAGAACTGGAGGAAATAGAAATAGACAATCAGGGACCCGTAATTTTTATTGTTCTGGGCCCGCGGATCAGTAGCGTTATGTAGGGTGGGGGGGGCAGAGGAGGCATTTGTCATCAGTGAGCTTCTGTCGGGCTGAGTATGGGCTAGTGTCGGGCTAGTTTTAGGCAGTGACCCCGCAAACATGATTCGTGTCATTATATGTTTTATGATTTTATGATACATTTATACTCCATACATGTTGTCGAAAATAGGACATAAATTGGGGAAAATTCTCCTCAAACTAAGTCTTCGCATAGCACCGAATATGTAATATAGTTAAGTATCTGTATCCCTGTACACATACAGGAACCGCATTATATTTATTGACTAGTCATTGTTGTCCTTCAAAAAAAATCGATCCACTGCCATGGATCGTAGTGATATTCAGGGCCCGGCGCGGACGGATAGACGCGTCGTGATTTCGGTGATCGCGGTGAAAATTCGCCGTTCGATAACGTGCACGAGCAAAACCACATTATGCGGCGTAGATACAAATCAATAATCATTATTAACAAAGGCCTCGGTTGAAAACGTAAGCGTGCCTCCTAGTGGGTACGCGAGCACAGAGTCCCGCCGTACACGCGGATGAAACATTTTGGACTCCCGTATACCTACCCGCTCAATACACGTACGTGTACTAACCGTGTTCACGTGTCTTAGTGTTATTCGCGGGTTCGCGGATTATTGTGATTATCGTATGGGCAATAACGCGTGCGACTGCATAATATTAATTACTAAATAATCGCGTACTCGTATATTGTGGACTTGGTTCGTTTTTGATTTAACATTTTCAACGATATTACGAACACGACACTGATACGTGTACACACGTCAACGCGTTAATTGCACGGGGACACGCGAAAGCGTGTGCACGTGAAACGTGGATCTCTAATGATATTCTCTTATTATTGCGACCCGCAGAGTATTGTGATATACACATTATTATCGTACTGCTCAATAACCATTGCGTTACGCGGGATACTGTTGTGCCGTGTGCGACACGGGCAATACTATACAGGTAGGGGTTACCCGTGTAGTGCCTGTAATGAGAAAAAAAAAAAAACACCGAACCGATATGGGCACAGACCGCGTGTTGTGTGCAGTGGCGGTAATATATCATTATGTCCGCGTAAGGACACGGGACGGAGGCGTTAAAGCTGAAGAAATCGGACTGTTGCAAAGTGAAAGTTTCCGCTGGAGTGAAAACCGGTGACCGGGCGTGCGCGTGTGCGTGTGACGGAGCCGGGCGCCTTTCGGACGACGGTCAGCCGTCGCAGTCGTACCGCCAGCACGATGGCCGCCGTATCGTCGTCGCCCGCGCGTTTCCTGTTGCCGCTGATGGTCGCGGCGTTGTTCGCGTCGTCCCGTAAGTATCTCTCTATTATGTGCACAATAAAATAATGTACGAAAACACCGGGGACTCGGTGCCGGACATCAGGACGGCGGTTGCAAAAGGCGCGCGCGCGCGCGCGGGAGCGGGGAGGCGGGAGAAACATAAAAAACGGCGTTAATTTTTTTCTGCGATCGACTTTTCTACCGGAAATATTGCTCCGATCTTCTAGTGTAGCACCGCCTTTCCCGAAAGGAAATTTTTTCTGTACGGTCTTTTCTCGATTTTCCAAGCGGTTTTCATTATAACTGTTCATAATAACCGGGAAAAAACGTAGGAATAACGGGACAATTTACGGGAAATTAATTACTTTTAATTTTGTTTTTCGTTGTGATTCGGTTAAAAATATTAGTGGAGATTTGAAATTTGGACACAAAACTCAAATATACATTTTCTAGACGTGGTAAGATTTACAAAGCATTTTAATTTTGCTAGCTTTTTACGTAGTTTTTATTCGTTAAGTACTATGTGGATAAAATTGTTGGACCGAACTGAAATGCTTAAAAATTTAACAGAAGGTTTATTATAAGGCGTACTGTGTGTTAAAAAAAATAATAATTTAAGTGTAATAAAGAATTTTTATCGAAATAAAATCGTAAATATTACGGCAATACGGCCTTTCAAAACATGTATAACCGAAAGATTAATCGTTTCGTACAAACATTGAATTTCCCTCTATATCTTACCTTTCCAACTTGTCACCGACAACAGTGGCCCCCCCTAGGTCCGTATATATTTTTGTTTATTTTTTCTTGTACGTTACTTTTCGTAAACATCGTAATGTTATAAAAATTGCTAATTAATAATAAAATTTGATCATAATTGTTTAAGAACAATATAACGAATTAGAAAAAATGTTATTTCTTTATCATAGAGTAATAGCAACTGTTCATTTTCATTTATACTTTAAGAACGACTATGAGCTTTATAAATATCTTCACGCTTCGGAAAATATAAGCTTTTTAATTTTAAGTTTTGAACGTTTAAAACGTTTCTAACAAGCGTTTTAAACACTTCGTAACCTTGGCCTATCCTACACCAGTTATGCTATCGTCATTATCTATATCTACACATTATTTCAGGGTATCTATACCTACAGTTAAATATAGTTGTGTCTGTTCGGGCTTATCTCAGGATTACTGGCAAGTCGAATTTGAAAAATTATTTTTACATTAGGTAGCACGTTAAAAAAAAAAAAACCAGCCATACGGGTGGGGGGAGGTCACAATAATAGTATATGAATCAGTCTGCGTCACGTTAAATATGTTGGCGCATTCACACCACGTTCCAACCTAGCGACTCGTAATAATATATTATATCCGTGGACGCCGACACACGACACCGGTGAATTACCGCCTTAACTCGTTCGTCGGCTCCGGTTCTCCATAATATGCTGTATTGCCTATAACGTCCGAGAGTGAATGTGTGTGTATCGCGCCTATACTCGTCAGTATCTTCGGAAAAACACGTAATCGAAAATAAAACCGTAATGTCGTTTGACGTGCCGAACGTCGAGGAAAATGTAGTCCGAACAGCAGCTCCTCGATTTTTCTGTCGTAGGAATTGTTTACGAAACAGCTAGACATATATCGCGTATCGTTATCATTTGTTCAAATCTATAAAACAAACGGTTTTATTGTTACACTTTTTAGACGTGGTTAAATTGTCAATATTTGTTCTATTGATTTTTGAGCTATTGCCATTTGAGTTTTCGAAATTACCGAGTATTTATTTGTGGTTTTGGGCGGATAACATTTTTTTTGCCCAGCAAAAATGCTCGAAAATTGATCACGAGGTTATTCTCACAACTTGTACTTAGTAGTGAAAAATAAAAGTCGACCGTGATGTGGGGCAATATTTTTTTTGTAAGCGTTTAATGAAAATCGTTAAACTCGTGGCATAGTTTATAACGGAAGTCAGTTAAAATCGTGAAAAAAAAAATAGTAAAAGGGAAATTTTATTTTTATTTTTAAATAATAATTAAGGTTAGTTATATGGTTAATAATTATGGTATTAAAATACTGCACCAAAAAATACCAAACGATAATTTGACAATACATACAAATTAAATAAAACAATTTCCATATTCCTGATCATTACTTACAAAAACACCATAAAATACCAAACAATAATTAAGTTTTGACTCTCGAAAATAATCTGTCATACGAACTTTGCGTTTTATCTGGCATTAAAGCGAAAATCAGTGGTATTATCAAAATTATACGCATTAAACCCTGTATCGTATATAAAAATTCCATCGGCGAACCAGTGTTCTATCTAAATTTTGTTCGGTAGCAAATACTAAAATCCGATTTCCAACAGGTTCAATGGCATGTATTGACAATGTATATGAACCGTCACTTACATGGGAATAATCATGGAGTATTGGGATATCTTTTTTAGTTGATGGCTTTAGACGGAGCAGAACTATTAATCTGCTGTATTCGACACAAAGTGCGTTTAATAAAACTTACTGGTGGGAGAGCTCCGTGAACTGCCTGCGAACACAATGTTGACGATTCGGAAACGGTCTTGTGTGGACTGTCTTGAGATGATAGAGCTCGAATTTTCATTTCGTCTGCACAAACTTAATCGTCGTTCAATTTCTAAATTTGATGGGGTATGGTTATTATGTTCACTATAGGTCCCCCTTTAACGATTGTATCGGTTTTTTTTTTTAAGCCGTGATTTGTCCGAGTGTTTTTATAATTTTTGTCAAACTTATACGAAGAGCCACTTTATTTTAGCAATTTTTTGTTTTTTTGTCTACGAATGAATTCGATATTTTAAACGTTTGATACTTCGTGAACGATACAACACTGATATAACAACGGACGACTATAGGTAATACCTTATATACATTATACTGTGATAGAATGCCGCGGTTAATAGATGACATAGGCAACGTGGATTTATCGCGGCATTGTCTACATACTATTATGCGCATACCTACGACATAATATTCGAGAAAAGAATTTCTTACTTTTCGCGATTTTGACTTTCGCTATTTGGTTTTCGCGATTTTCACATAAACCCGTTTATAATATGTTTGATCAAACTTTGCTCACCAATAATTTATATCGGTACGCGGGCACGCGGGTACAAATATTAATCAATCGATTAATCTGTTATACACGCATCTATAAATATGTTAGTGTCGAAAATCGGATAATATTAACTTTTCGTTCGGTCGAACCGATTCCGTTTTATTATAAGACGGAAACGGCCTATTATCAAATTTATTGTCTGTGTTTTTACATTTTTATTTCTATTCAAGATACGATGAATTTTAAATTATTGTAATATTTCTTATACTATTATCTTGCAACTCGAAATTAAAATATCGAAAAAAAAAACACCGACGTACAAACGCAGATAATATATTCTTATCTTTAAGTTTGATAATATACTAATTTCGCTTCAATATACACAAACTAACAGCACCGCATAATTTATTTTAGTTTAGTTTTGTTATTTCTTAATGTATAATTTCTAATAAGTTTTCTCATTTGTACTATTGGGCTCTGCAAGTCTTATTCTTCTTTTGAATAAATTATTGCCTACTGTTATAGTATTATTAAAATCGGGTCTACTGAATGAAAAATTGACGCTGTCCAATTTCCAAAATTATGCGTACTACAATAGGTTTATACATTGTACAAACCTACGCATATTATTATTATACCTTACCTCCCCAACTTCCCGCCTATAAAAATGATAACACATCGGCAGTAAAGAGTTAAAAAGTTGTAAAAGCGATTGTATGTACGGAGTTGTAATATAATATTAGCAAACCACCAGACAAGTCTAGACCACTGGTTGAAATCATCAATTATAATGTTTGTAAAAAAAAAAAAAAAAAAAAAAAAAAAAAAACAAAACAAAACAAAAACAGTAAAACTAAAATGTAATTTTAATCTCCTCTACGCATTTTTTTCTTCCACTATATCGCCTTTTTTTCGTTTTCTCGGCGGTCGATCACTGCCTGTTACGCTACCCGCAGTATCGTTGAGAACGTGATTTTCGATCTAGGTCACCGCGGTCTGCAGGCGGATCTGTGTAAACATTAAATATACTTTTTTACGCATTGTATCTAATACCTATTAATCGAATGATTCCGTTCACCGGTCGCCGACGAAGACGATCGCCACCGTACACAAGTATTAACATAACACATTAACCAACATTATCGACTGGGGCCGTGTATGGTATAGGTACCGTATCCGATTTCTTTTACATACATTTTCGAGAGCGAGAGCGGATAGAGTCACGATAATAATATCGCATGTGCGTTTCGGGCCGTTAGGTTCTCGTGGACATCCGACGAATCGAAAATTATTAATTGCGGTAAATTCACATAGAAAAAAAAAAAAATGCATTAAAAGGTTATTGTTATCGCGGCATTGTGTATAATTTTTTTTTTTTTTTTTTTTTATGAATGGCGTGCGAACTGACGATAACGCGTTGAATTTCACGCCGGTCGTCGGCCAGCCGCATCCGCGAATTTCGATGTAATAATATTGACTATTTCGCTATTTCATATACACCTTCAGCTCCCCAGCACGGTTTCTTTTGAAATACCAACGAAAAACGACGTCCTTACCCTTACCTTTTTTTTTTATTCGCTTAAGACGAAACAAATAATAATAATAAAAAATTCCGTCAATAATATTGCACGTAAAACGAAATGAGATAATGCTATGTAATATTCTGTCGGTAATCGGATAGGTACTTATAGATATTACTATCGCCGCACACTCGTAATGCGTTGACCTAAATAATAATAATGCAATTACTTCATAAGTAAACGCAATAATACGAATGACGAGTACGTATCATAATAATACTATAATGGCGATACGTCATTTTAAGGTTTTTTCCTTTTTTCAAACAGCGAATTTGTTAAATGTATACCGGTTTGAATGCGGTCTCGCCCGTTATAATGAATAATATTATCGATTTGAATTTACTGCTCTAAAAAAAAAAAAAAAACCCACATGAGCAGTAGAATTCCGTTACTAGAATCGAATTTTCCCCATCTGACTCGTTGCCGTTATAGTATTTGATGTTTTTTTTTTTTTATACAACGATGAGAAATTGAATAAAATAAGTTTTATCATAAGACACCCATTATCTCGGTTAGGTTAATTTTTTCCGGAATTTATTTTCTAGAACATTTAAAAAACCAGCTGCTCTACAATTTTATATTTATGTTATTTTTCGTCACCTTTATTTTTAGGGGTAAAACCACGAATTACTTTTGATTTTCAAACCTATATTAAAAATTCCATAAATAGACGAAGTGTTAGTTAAAATACATTTTGGTATTGAACATTTTGATTTCGGTCAATCCTTCGACGAGATATTAAGTTTGGGTTGAGTGGTGGTGGATTATTAACACGCCGCGCGCCGTATCGCCACACAAATGATACTTCACTACTCTTCTCCAACCCAAACTTAAAAGTAAAATATCTCGCCAATGCATTGATGGAAATCAAAAATGTCAACACTAAAATTTATTTTAATTAATACTCCATTTAGTTTTTAATAGAGGTTGCTATTTAAAAATCAAGAGTAGTAAGTGTTTTTACCCCTAAAAATAAGGGTGACGAAAAATAACATAAATATAAAATTGTAGAGCAGCTGGTTTCTTAAATTTTCTAAAAAATAAATTCTAAAAATAATTAATACTTTCCGAGATCATGTCTTATGATGGATTGATCACCACGTATAGATATATACACATTTCAATTAAGTTACTTACTATATTCATGAATCTATAAGGATTTTTTTTTTTTTTAGAAATAAATCGAATTAAATATATATTTTATATTTATTCTTCCCGCAGTAACTCTATTGCATAGTAGTTAAGGTTTTGATAAAATTGATTTATGGTAAATTCTTATTATTTTCTAAGAACTCGTAGATCTTTTTTCGTTAGTTGTACTTAGAGGTAAAGTGAGAAACATATAAGAAAAGTGAGAAAAAAGTAGCATTTATTTTAATTCTTAAATTTCGTAATTTAAATTGTTATTTTATATTTTAATCCATAAATCCGTCGTTGCTTATAAAAATGTCTCATAAGTCGTTTTTAAAGGAGTATAATAACATTGAATACGAGTTGAGATTTTTACAGACATTTCGAATTCAATGAAAAACAATCGTAGAGCCCTGAAACTTTTGCCGTGGATGCGGTAAAATGTTCAAAAATATTCTATCGTTTATTAATTAATTTATAGTAGTTAAAAGTTAATTTGTCATGTTTTAAGTTCAAATTTACGTTAAAAATCGTTAAAAAGCACAACAAATGTTGTAATTTATCAACGCGTATTTAATCAACGTTCGCTCAGAATTACTTTTTGTTTGCAGCTATTTACCGTTACGTACGGATTTAAATTAAATTTGGTACCTTAATATGTTCCATCTTTCCGACTTTCCACACATATAATAGTGGTCCAATGTGAAGCATGTCGGCTTTGTTTAATGTATGCAAGTTTTTAAATTTAATTTCCAGTATTTTATTTTATACATTATACACGACTAGAAGACATTTTAAATAATGTAAAACAACAATTTAAAAGTATGTACCTACTGCGAGTGTGTGTTTTCTCTATTTAAATTATTATGTATTTTCACGCGCGTTAATAATTGCGGAAAACGAAAGGTACAAACAATACCCAATTAATATGTCGTCACGGTTTCTGATTAATTATTACAAAGATATCTGTATTTAATATTAGACATTTCAATATTTTAGAAAACAACCTAACATAGTATTATCATGCTGTAGCGGACACGTTATATTAGATACTTCTAAACGTCATAATATTTCAATTGCCTATATACTCAAAAACGAATATGTAGTTGAAAATAATATTACGTCTGACTTTAGTTTGTATTTTTGAGCTTATTCCACTCCCACAATAGAATTAAAGTCTTTGGATAATTTTTTACTGAAAGAGCACCGATGAAATATTTGTAATCAAAAAACGAATTTGAGCGAAATAAAATTAGTAGTATTGGTCGTGTTTTTTCCCTTCGTTGTCCAGATAATAAAAATAATACAGATTTATCGACATTTTTTTTTTTTTAAGTAAAGTACCATCAATCGAAAAATACGCATCTCTTGAGGTGCGGCAGAAAAAATTGGTACATTTTTATTAGCGGAAAAAATGTTTTCCGAGAAAATAAAAAAAATATTAGTAAAACTAAACTAAATTCTTCGCTACACTAAGTTAATCAGAGTTATTAAATTGTTAATCTGTTGAATCATGAATGATATTAAATTTTAATATTTAGTACAGAAAAATTAGTTTTAATAATTTTGAACGTTTCAATAAAGAATATAAATATTATCAAATATTATACTATATTTTGATATTCATTAACATATAGGTAATTAGTTCAGCTTGTATTATTCGTAATATTTACATCTAGCCTCAAATTTTTATTTATTTCAGGGGTTATAATTAAAATATAAATTAAAAGAGAAAAATCATTCTCGCGCATCTAACATAAAATAAAATAATATAAAAAAAAAAAAAAAAAAAAAAAATTAATATTTATACCTAATTAACAAAGTAAATAGTTGACATTTTTTTTACAAAAAGAGACCTATATCATAATTTTGTTCACTTGAACACGCTAACTTTGGGGGTTAACTATGTATCGAGATGAATTTTCTTTATCAATTAATATAACCCAGGAACTAATAACTTAAGATTTTTAAATACAAAATAATAAAAGTCCTATAGGAAGTTTTAAATTATACAAAAAACGGAATTATTCAATATGATTATATTAAATTTTTGAGTTTCAGAAATAAATCTCATAAAATTTAAAATATTTTTTTTTTTTAAAACATGTAATGATTTTATATTTATTTATAAAATGTGTTATGCAATTGTCTAATTTGAATGAATACAAAAAAAAAATAATAATAATAATAAAAACAAAGTTAATTAAATAAATTATATGATATAGTTAAAAATAAATTTCAAAAAAATGCGTTTGTTAACAAGAAAAAAATACTAATCTATATAATATAATAATTTGCGTTATTATTGAGTGTTTAATATAGAGTTGTATTTTTAAGAATACCAGTACATGAAATGTATAGCGTTTGATGAATCGAACAAATTCTGTATGAATTCTATACAGAAATCTTTTTACTATTTGAACTATAGCCAATGTGAACTGTATCGATAGAATTATTTTGTTTAATTTTTTTTTTTTTAGACATCAATGCGACTATTTTTGTTCCGGAAGAAATCCCATCCTTGTTATCGGTGGTGTACAGTAACTTGCCGCCGATCAAAAAAGGTAAAAAAATAATAAAAAATCAATGTATAATAATTATAGTCCGGATTTATGTTCTTTTAAAACACCTAAAACACCAATATCAATTCTCCTATATTCGCAAAAATAATCAATGTACATCAATATAATATTATGTTTTATAATAATATATACTTTTTTTTTATTTTTACTCTATCAAAATGATAAAAAAATATATTTATATTTCTAATGGTTGTTGAAACGAATCGAAAAAAATTTTTTCCCAAGTTATTCATCGAAATTAAAATATTAATATTGAAAGTAATTTCAAATTACAGTAAATCTGTATTTTAATTACACAAACATATTTATCTCTAAACTCTAAAATATTCTTGAATACGAAAAAAAAAACACTTTCCCTTGAACGGCACGCATAATACACACTCGGCATAGGCGTGTATACACTTCATTCGCCAGTCGTGCACAACAGTGGCATATCCAGGGATAGGGGGTTACTTTATCCCCCTTCCAAAAAAAAAAAAATTAAGTTAGGGTTTGAGAATATGACCCCCAAATTCCTTAATAGGCTAAAAAAACAATATTCCTTTTATCAGATAAATAAATAACTAGGTAATATGAAATTGTATTTAGTTTTTTTTAAAATATAATTTTTAATACTTTTCACAAATATGTATTTCTATAATTACAAATTTTCTCAATCGTCCGCAGTCCGCATATGTTTCATTATTTATCAAACGATACAAATGTTATCACAATTCTATCATAAACGGTGGAGAACCTGTCACTTGTCGTTGTTATAGATAATAACGTACAAAACTACACTAACAATTAGTACCGCGCATAGATAAAATATTTCTATGATCAATGGTCACACGGCGGTAACAAGGGTAACATTGTTATAGATGCTTAAAATCCACATGACGAAAATCGAAACATTTAATATGAAATCAGAAACCGGGGGGAAAAAAAAAGTGTTATATTGTGCACCGCAATTTATAATGTAAGTTAGGTCAAATTTCGCAAGTCACGCCTTGTGCACGACAGACGAAACCCGTAGACACGTCTGTGGCACTCGTACATATTATGTAAAACCGTAAAAATCCGGACACTAATTATTACAATAATTACGGGAAGTCTGTCGTGTTACACTCGGATAGACGGCGGAGATATTACGATTTTTGTTTAATTTTTTTTTTTTTTTTTGGTCTTCGTCTACCGAAGGCACGGACTCCAGGTTAGGCGTCGGTTTTCGGTTGGGCCCGAACGCGGACGTACAGTTCCAGCTGGAGCTCGGGCCGCAGACCAACACGTTACCGATCGGCGACGGCGCAAATGCCGCGGCCGCGGCCGTGGCCAAAAAACGGCATGCGACGGCGGCCGGCGACCACGTGCCCGGCGACTGGTTGAACAGGTGGCGGTTCCAAATGAGTCCCGGATACGTGGGACAGGACGGCGAGCAGATCGCGGCCGGCCACCAGACCGGCGAGCTGTCCGACGGCGGTATTTCGGACGCCGTGGCGCACCTCAGGCAACTTTACAAACCGCAGCCGACCGTCGCGGAAACGTAGACGACGGGAGCGCGGGACGCACTCGCAATAACATTTTGTACATATTCCGCAGTTTCGCATTATTCGAACGGTTCGCTGCAACGACCGTAATCAAACAGTAGGTGATAAGCGTTCGGTTCGACACACGGCGACCGGCGCGGATTATCGAAAGCATCTAAAAATCCCCCCACCCCCCGATAAAAAATATTTAGAAAAAAAAATATCCGCTCGGCGCCGCGAAACGGTCGACGGCCAATGCCGATCGTCCGCCATGCAAAACGTAACCGTAAATAGAAATTCAAACTTGATTGCACCGGCAATTCAGATTATTACACCGTTGGCCGAAAGTCCATTATCGTGTGAGTGTCCCATCGGCCGTGGCCCCCTCCTGCACCCCGAGTATTCGTACGCGCACGTGTCTCGGTTATTTCGTCCGCGGTTATCGAAACCGATTTGAAAACGACGGGACCACGCGCGACACCATGCACAACACTGGCTCTACGCTTGGCCGATATTTCGCGGGCCTCATTCATTTCCACCCGTGACATGTCCAAATAACCTCTGTCCATTTTCTATCATTTTGCCCACTACCTAAGCTACCTGATATCTTATCCTCTCTCGTCACTACACTCATCCAACTAAGCATTATCGCCTCTGCTTATACGCTCACTGTCTCTGTTCTATTATATTTTCTGTCTCACCACACTTTTGAAGAACTTACCTTTAAATCTATACAAGTTATCATAAATAATGTTGGTCCCATTGTTTGTATACTTATATACCTACGCGTATAATATTATCTATAAACACAAACGTTTATGGACGGCGACAAATGTACGGTGTTAATGCCAACTTGTTGGTATATTGTTCTTTTTACGGTTATTGCAGCAAACCCTTCAATTATTGTACACCCGTATTCGTGCATAATTATAAATGGTTCAATGTTTGACGTCCCGGGGGCGGTTACCTGAATTATATTTCATTGTATATTAGAGAATAAGTTTTGTGTATTTAAAAAAAAAAAAAAAATACATATTAAGCGGTGTAATTTATTGTAATATTAATTAATTATAGTTTGATAAATGTCTGTACTTCTCTTATTCTTTTTATTTATTTTAAATATTGTTATTTTTTCTTGAGATTTTATACGATATTAAGCTGTCCTTGTTGTCGTAGCTGTAAATCTAATATAGTATTCTTGCGATAGAAATTTAAAAAATGAAATGCAGCGTTTTCGATATTTAATTTGAATAATTGCACATAATTATAGTTAAAACATTTTTTTTATTATTATTATTATTCATAATATTATAACAAGGCCAGGTGTGAATTAGGAATCGATTTTTCAAGCATCGAATTATTCGCCAGGTACGTATCCGTCGGATAATCTTTCGAACAAAGTGATAAGGGAAATTGAGCATTATGGAACAAGTTACACAGGCTTATTCATTATGATTGGTCAATGATAGAAATGATTATTATGATAATGTGATACCTATTTGTTATTTGATGTTTTGATGCACATGACGTGATACTTTTTGTTCGTTACCTACGTTTTATTCTAAATTGTATATTTTCAATAATATATTGTGATATGTCGAACAAAAATGGCAATGATAATATGGCAACGAATTTTAGTTTCTTCGAAAAAAAAATATTATTAAAATATTTGAATTCAAAGAATCAAATGCGTTATCCTAGAAGGAGAAAAATAAGTGTTGGTTGATCATTGCTGAATTATATAATTCTACAACAACAAGCTGTGTATGAAGTTTTTTTTCTGTATGTATAAAATATAATTGTACTATTTTTATTATAGCCAAGAGATTCTACAAGTTTGCGTTCAAAGTATGAATCTGTAAAAAACAGTTACGGACATTAAAAGTGATTTGTTTAAAACGGGTGATTCCTATAGAGTTCTTTACCAAGTGTCCAGTGATTCAGAGAAAGCTTTATACTAAATATTGCAACTGTCAATTGAAAGACTACCTTGTAAATATGATAACGATAGTAAGTAGTTTTCTATAAACATTTAATATTTTTTATTAATTAAACTATTCTTATTTTGTATAAACTTTATTAAGTTAAATTTAATTCGTTACAATTATCTGAATAGATACTTTATGACAAAACACCTCATATAATAAATATATCAGTATATTTTTAGTTCATTACCAAGAATAAGGTTGCCATACGTCTCGGAAAACCAAGACTGTCACTGGTTTTTGACTTGTTGTACTGGTGTCCTGAAAATAAATGTCGGTACGCCATTGTCCTGGTTTTGAGGAAAAATTAATAGTATTTAATTTCGATATTTTCTTAGAATAATAACTTTAATCGAGAAATAATGATAAGATTTTTGACGAATATGGGACAAAACAATGATGATAAAACCACAGATATAATTCTTTTATATATTGGTGGATAAAACCTTAGTGGTAGCTAGTATCCAAATTAGTTATTACTTGAATTTTTTTGTAACCATCTATTTGATGGTTAAAAAAAAATTAATTCAATTTTTGTTTGGATTGTTTTAGTTTATAAAATAATAAGTAGGTATCTCTTTAAATATATATATATTATATAGCTATCTAATATATTCAATCATATTTTTAGTCTAATTTTATTTGCTATTTGTTTTATTCGTCCCGGATTTTCTTTATGAAATTATGGCAACTCTAACCAAGAATAAAAAAATTCTTGCATTAATCATATTTATGAAACTAATAACTAATGAATGAATTAATGTTTTTTTTTGCAACAGCGACTGAAAACATTGGTTACTTAGATTTAATCAAACATAATCAAGGTCCCTGAAAACAAATAGAGTGAATGAACACAGATCATGTTAAATGGTCGTGAGTTTATGGTCAATAAAGAAGATAAATCCATATTATTTTGTAATGGTATGTTATTATACTGATAATTATAACAAAAATTGATTCTTGATCCTGGCATGATTTCAAGCTTTTTTTTTTTTATTGATTAAATACCTGTTGAATTATTTTATTTTCATTCAAAATGAGTTTATTGAATATTTTTTATATTTAAAGAAGTATTGGGCTTGGATGATACATTGTATATGACAAATAAACCGCTAATGAAGGATAGAATAAACAATTATCCTGGTACATCTGGTACTAGTAAACACATGGACCTCTTTAGATTCTACAAAACTGTTAAGAACAAAAGAAAAACATAAAAAATTAGCAAGTAAGGAATAACTACCTACCTATTATCACTATATACGTAAATATTAATTTTTTTTCTTTGTAACCAATTTTAGAAAAGAAAAAAAAAATCATAGTCAGATATCAGTCAGTGAGAAATTCACTAAACTAGCTGAAAAAAAAAACAAGTATTAGTCAAACTTCAAATATCTTTATTAAAAGAGGAATGTGTAGAAAATATGATATCCAGAAAACAAAACATGCGCTTGAACTTCAGTCGTTAGAATTGGATATTGTTCTAAAAAAGAAAAAAGAAATTAGATAGAAGAGACCTCTTCTCTTGGTATTTAAATGTTCTATACTCAGCTTGTGTATTGTTATTAATTTTATTTTAAGTTGTATATTGTATATTGTGTATGTACAACAAATTAACATGAGTACTTTATTCAAAAGTTTACTTTACTAAATTTTATTATTTTTTAAAAAATATTTGTTTTGTTTGTACTGTTATTTTTAATAAGAAGTTACTATTATTATTTTTTTTTATTTTAGAAATGTTTAAAGGTCTATTTACACACAGCAGTGATGTGACAGTACCGTGACCGTTCCGAGATTCCCCCGGCGAAATTTATAATATTCTTAAAGGAGAGATATGCTTGTTGTTCCGACTTACCTGGCGTGTGACCGTACTGACACAAACAGTGTCATCGCCGTTATCATACAGAGAATTCACGATTACTTGCTGACGATATTTTTCATATTTCACGGCCATGATTTTTGTCACGTTCCACATTCTCTTTTAGTTTTTGAAAATGGACGACAAAAATCTTATTGAATTAGTGCGGAATTAAGTGCTTATACTCAATGACGAATGAATAACTGACCATTATGAATAGAAATCACGACCAGTAGAATCCTGGAACGGGTACAGCACGGTCACGTCACTGCTGTGTATAAATAGAAATCACAGCCAGTAGAATCCTAGAACGGGTACGGCATGATCACGTCACTGCTGTGTGTAAATAGAAATCACAGCCGGTAGAATCCCAGAACGGGTACAACACGATCACGTCACTGCTGCGTGTAAATAGAAATCACAGAAGGTAGAATCCCAGAACGGGTACGGCACGATCACGTCACTGCTGCGTATAAATAGAAATCACAGCCAGTAGAATCCTAGAACGGGTACAACACGATCACGTCACTGCTGCGTGTAAATAGAAATCACAGAAGGTAGAATCCCAGAACGGGTACGGCACAATCACGTCACTGCTGTGTGTAAATAGAAATCACAGCCGGTAGAATCCCAGAACGGGTACAACACGATCACGTCACTGCTGCGTGTAAATAGAAATCACAGAAGGTAGAATCCCAGAACGGGTACAACACGATCACGTCACTGCTGCGTGTAAATAGACCTTAAATGTGTTAAATGATTAATTATATAATATGTACAACAAATTAAAAATATTTACAAACTTTATCCACTATAAAAAATATAAATCAATATTTACATAGTAGTATTATATATTTACATATCGAATACTAATATTTACATATTAGTATTCGATTTGTGGCTATGAGTATTGGTCATAATCATCATTTACACAATATGGTTAAATCAGAAGTGAAAAATATTCTTCAGTTAACTGCTGTCTTGCATTTCCCTCATCTAGTTCATGTTCTTCTCTTAAATTTAAGTCATCATTAACTGGCATACCTATACCTATACTTAATAGTTCAGGTGGTTTTAAATCATAATGATTGCATGCTACATTATATAAAATACAACAAGCAATGGTCATAGTTTGAGCAGTGTCAATTTTAAAATTTAAACGTGACCCAAAAGATAAGATGGGAAATCTTTGTTTTAGAATTCCGTAAAATTTCTCGACTAGATTTCTAGTTCTAATTAGAGATTTGTTATATAACATTTCAGGGCCATTTTGAGGATTTAAGTATGGAGTGACAACAAATTCCAAATGAGTGTAGCCACTATCAGCTACAATTAGACTATTTTTCCAATAACCACTGACTAATTTATTATAAATACATGACTTCTTAAAAATAGTTTGGTCGTAACATGATCCAGTGCAATAATATTCATTAGTTTCAAATCTGTACATGAAACGTCCAAGCACAACGTCCAAAGAAAATACCCTTTGCGGTTTCTTAAGTATTCACCATTGAGAACACCTATTATCATTGTTTTAGTTAAAATCATAAAATATTATTATCAAGTTGTACGTAAACTCTTACCTGGGTTTTGAATTTTGATGCAAGTGCAATCAATAACACCTATTGTTCTCAGGAATCGCGCTATTTGATAGAAATGGCGTTGTAAATTATTTATTTCAGTTTCAATTACCGCATATGGATGAATCTTAGTCGAAGTTTTGCCATCGCTACAATGACATCACGTATGATCAAACAAGCTGCGGTTTTACTGACATCCATAAAATCATCAGCTATTGTCAAGAAATTACCAGCATCATAAAATGGTACAGTCAACAATAGTTCGTAATCACTGCCATAGCATTATTCCTTAAATATATTTATAAAATAAATGTATTTTGTTACATAAAGAATATTATTTATTTATGCCTCAAACATGCATTTAAACTCACCTGTCGATTTGTGAATATATGTCATTTTCAATGTATTCTAATACTTTAAGAACAACATCTTTTCCAAGTCTAAATCTCACCCTTAAATAGTCATCTTATTTAAAAAAATGGTCAACTGTTGGATGTAAGGTGTACACGACGTTGATAATTTAAAAATTGAATTAATTCGTAGTCATCGTCTTCTTCAAATAAATCCACGATATCATAATTATCCATATTTGATTTGAATGAACAGTAAGAACCAAAGTTATTTAAATTTAATTTGTAAAATCAAAAATCATTTATTTGATATAAAAATAATAATAGGAGAGTAAAATAACGAAATAATAATGAAAAAATCGACAAGGAACTGTTATCATTGACACTTTTTGGCTCGCTCCGTCAACTAAATTTTGGAGGGTGATAATATTATTATCAATCATTCACGTAGGTACTATTTTTTCGTAGGTAATAGGTACGAATTACGAAACTACGAATGCGAAATACGAATTATACTTTTATGTTTAATGTTTACCCATAGTTTAAAAATTAAAAATATAATTTAAACCAAAACTATTATTGTAATCATTAATTAGGTAGTATTACTAAGTATTTATTATTTCCACATATTTTTGATTTCAACCTTCTGTGGCGTTATGTCGAAAATTAGAAATAAGAGTCACAAAATGTACTGTGGTAAATTACACAAATACACAGGTTAAAAGTGAATCAAATAAATTATTCAATTTACATCTAAGCCACATGACATTGGACAAAGGAAGACATGGTTACATGCGATTAAACGAAAAAAGGAAGATAGGGAACAGTAACTCTGATTGTTTTATTATATTTGTAGAGAATAATCTCTGTTATACAGTAAGTTTACCCCAAAACATTGTCAAATAGTAATGATTGTTTGTGTAAACATTCTAGTAATGCTTCAACTGTATTTATTAATGAGGTATTAGGTAGATATGATTTATATTAATATCTATTAGGCATGCTAATTTTTTCAGTGATGACAATAAACATTGGGAGCCTACTTCCATTCCAGAATATTCCAGAATTATTCCAGATATGTAGCGCTCATTTCATTGGTGGTCAATATTCCATACATCCTCAGAGCCCATCATACAGTTATACATTATTTCTTGTTATTTACAAACAAAGAATTTTACCAAAAGAGAGTACCGACCACTTTGATCCGTATATATAGTTAGATCCATCCACAATTGCAGTACATCTGCAACATTAAACATAGATTCAAATATTTTACACGGATCAAACAATGTAACAGAATCACAAAGTAGTAGAAATAGTATTGTTAAAAAAAATGTAACTATTCAATGTTCTTCAGTTATTGTGAGTGATACTTTTAAATTTTTTAATAACAATGTTGCTGCCTAAACAAATATTGTAAATGTTGAAACTTTATATACTTTTTAACCTATAATAGTAGATGCCAATGCAGGTTGTGTAGATTCCGCTTTAGAATATTTTTGTGGTTACCAGTCAATTCAAAATGAAAAACATTTAATTTCTATTGCTGGAATAAATCGGGAGATTTTAAATTTATTTCTTAAATATGTTCCAGAACAGTGCCGTTCAAAAAAGAGCAAGGAATATAGGCTAGTGATACGTTTAGTTAAAATAAAATTAAGAATAACATTTACAGCAATATCAATATTTTTCAAATTATATCGTTCTACATGCTCACAAATTTTTAAATCTTTGTTATCAATATTAATGTCTAATACCAAATCATTTATATTTTGGCCAAGCAAGCAATTATTTCTACCTTACCAATGGCATTTAAATTAAATTATCCTAACTGTTGGGCATTGATTGATTGTACTGAGATAAAAACCGAGCGGTCTCCATTGTCTAGGCAAAAACAATTATGTATTAGTCGTGCTTTCTTTTACGCAGAATGGTATTTTAACTCAAGATGAAATTATGAATGCCTATCAAATTGCCAGTGTTAGGATTCACTTTGAAAGATCAATTCAAAGAATAAAAATGTATAATATATTACAAAAACTACCTACAGAGTTATTAGAGTGTATTAATAACATCATATATTTATATTGTGTTATGACAGATCTACAACCACTTATAATTCTATAATGTTCTATAGTGTAGTAGGTGCATTTATTATGAATCATATAAAATGTAAAAGTACAAAATTTGTCAGTTAGGAATTGTTGTTTTCTAAAAAATAAAAAACAGAAAAATAATAAAAACAGTTTAGAACACATAGGAAGTTTGAACGTGGTCCACTATCACAATTGTTCAGGAATAAATTAAAAACTAAATAATATGTTTATAGCACAAAGCAATTGTATAAAATATGATAAGAATAATAATTTTAAGCACAGCATAAAATATAATAATGTAACCACTATATACTTTCCCATGTTCCCGTGTATTATTACAGGGTGCAAACAAATAATTCCTATTAATATCATTATTTTTTTATTAATCAGCCAAAAAACATATACTATTACATCAAAATTTACCGCCCGGGGCCGAAGCCCCCTCTGCCCCCCAAAATACGTTACCGTAATTTATCACATTCAATATAGGTACAACGAATGAGATTAACAATATATTAAATATTAATATATTTTCGTATGCGAGATAATAACAATCAAACATAGTAATCATCAATGATAAAAATCAATTCTCGTTTCACAAATAATCAAATATCCTACTTGTGCTACTTTTATGTTTGACATTTATTCGTATACATTTTAAGATTTGTGTTTTAGCCTTCCAAAGTATATGATTTGGTCTACTACGCGCGCTAGTGTCAATTGACTTATTCTAAAGAGAAGTAATATACGTATATAGTTGAGAACGGATTTATATGCGCTAAAAATCCACAAAAGAACGTTTAAAAACGTCGTAAAAGCTTTATAAAATCACTTACAAAGTATTAAAAAGAGCAATAATGGTAGAGGAGTTAAAAAGTCCTCACTCTAATGGTTTTAATTTGTTAAAAATAATTGTCAATCACCAATGGTTATTACAGAGTAATTTCTTTCAAATAAATTTGTATGTGTTATTAAAAAAAAAAAAAATTAAGTATATAAAGACGTTTATAATGATAGTGCAACGGTATCGAGTTTACACCTTCGGTATAATTATAATTTCTAACTAAATATATTCAGTTATATTTTTGCATAAAGCGACAAAATATTACATACAACTGTAATAACAGATATACTTGCGGTCAACCTAATTCACGTTTCTCATAACTACTAAAAAGTAATTTTGAGAAAATTATAGATTTTAATTTAAAAAAAAAAAAAATGTAAATAGTCCAATAATTTGGTGATAATTTTTTTTTTCAATAATATTATCAAACACTGTTATATTTTATTAATTTTTAATTTTAAAGATTTTTACTACACCAAAGGGTAGGTTTATATGCGTGTTAATTACTAAGTTACTCATTTAAATATTAATTCTGTAACGAGACCATAATTCGGTGAATAGCGCTCAACACACTCGTCCAGTGGCCTCGTCACGCATTATTTTCCGAGCAGCCGACGACACCGTACCCGGGCGTCACCAATAGGGAGCGCAATTGATGGAACGCTTTATAGACCAATTTTCAATCACCCTGAAATCACTTTATCCCCATCATTCAGGGACATTTATTTAAACAATTCACATATACTATCAAGGATCATTCCTGTCTATTACACAGACAGCTTAAAATCGTTACGAACAACCCGGTTAATCGACTTTAATCGGAAATCGTGGATCACAAAGAACCAAATATGGCCATAAAAATACTATATAAGTAGAGGCCAGTTTAATATTGCTCAGTATCATTCCGGGAGCTCGGGATTGAAGTCGTGTCTTTACAATAGACCATTCATATCACGGAGCTGACCGGACACGCAGGCTGTCGAGCATGGAGGATCTGCTGGAGGACATCGGTGATCGTAACGACAACGAGGATCGTGCCGCCGACCAGGATCGTGCCGCCGTCGAGGAAAATGCCGCCATCGCGATGCGTGCCGCCGTCGAGGATCGTGCCACCGAGGTGGCGCCCGATCCCACCGACGCTCATGCCGTCGAGGTCCGAGCCGTTACCGCCATGGCCCACGCCGCTCTCGCCGAGCTCCGAGCCGCTGCCGCCCAGACCGTTGCCGTTGCAGTTGATGACGAGGCCCGAGCCCGAGCCCTTCTCGCCGAGCAGCGAGCCACGGCCGTCGGGATGATCGTCGCCGCCATCGTGGACCAAGCCGCTGCCGACGAACTACAAGCAATATCCGCGGGAAGAGCAGCATCCACGGAAAGAGCAGCATCCACGGAAAGAGCAGCATCCACGGAAAGAGAAGCCAGAACTCCTCGGCGCTAGAAAATATGTCGTATTCAGATAAGTCATACTTGTAATTGTCGGAAATAATGTTGACGAAATATATTTGATGTAGTAAAAACAAAATTATTAAAATTGTTATTAGTAAATAAATGAGTAGTATGAATAGTAAAATTATAAATAAAAAAAAAAAAAAAAATGAAAAAAAAAAAAAAATGAATGGATTTCTTCGGAAATTCATTTTACCACGCAAAATTTACCTGCGAAAATTTACGCTCAAACAACCGGAATAAATTGTGTATTGTTTCGAATCAAAACAATAAAATTTAATAGTTGACGTGTGTGTTAGTAATCAGAGGAGTGATCTTGATAACATACCAAAAGTCAACGTTTTAAACGACCAGAATAGACCGAGGATTGCATTCGCGGATGTAAAAGCGATATATACCGCGAGAGGGGTTCGACCGGCGCTATATATTAAAAGTTTCTCAGAATTGTTTTCTGATTGCGTTCACCCGCAGTGTGTGTGTGTGTGTGTGTGTGTGTGTGTGTAACAGCTGATGACGCGATCACGGCGCCGAGCCGACGGCCGGCGACCGAGGCCGACCGCGACGGATAGCCCGTGTGTGCGTGAACACCGGTGAAAGGACGCCGATCTCGAATCACCGCAGAAATCGTCAGAATGCGCTTCGTTCGGTAGCGATGCCGGTTTTACGCGCAAAGCACAGCGAATTTATTGGGTTTTTATTATTTTAACCGAAACGGCGAAACTAACGAATGATTATTACGGAACGTGTTTCGAACACCGCATTGTCCCCGAACGATTGGGTACGTATCCCCGAGTATGTACGAACTCTGGAATGAGCGACGATTGTCACACGCAGACACGATCGCGAAAACGTCCAACGTCCCAAGCAATGTGCTCGGTTGTTTTGTATTAAATGCAATCACAATGGTTTTCACGCTTGGTTCCGGGCGCACTGCGAACACGCGCAGACCGACGCGTTACGGCACTCGGTTCGCAACGAGTCCGGAACGTACGTGACGTACGGACACACGGTCGTTCGTAACGGATTGAAATTCTGGCGCCTCGTTTTAAATTTGAACATCGCCCGCGTCCAATAATCTCGCGTACCGTTCACGGCGTAACGGTGCGCGCGCCGGTGCGCGGCCAGCGTTTGCCGCGCGACACACGATTTTCAAGGCCGGGCCCCTCGGTTTCTCGGTTTCTCGCAGTGAATGCGCATAAACAAGACCGGCGCGCGTCGGATCGTGTGTGGCGGATTCGGATGTTTAACGCGAACGTTCCGATTACGGTCGGGGGAGGAGAGAGGAAGGGACGGAGGGGGGGGGGGGTTTACAATTACCGGGGTGGTTTTTTTTTTTTCTATTCTATTGATCAATACAATCGATTGCCGTTACAATGATTAACGCGCAGTGCCTACAATAACGTCGAAACCGTTTTTTTCATACCGGTGATCATTGATGACGGATGTCAATTCGTTCGTACGCTGCACCCGCGCGAACGTTAAACAGTAACGTCGACCCCGGTTCCACGATCAAGCGACGCGACACGAACAAAGCCGAAAACGAGCGGAAAACGAAAAAACGTACTCGTTCGTTGTTTCGCCCGACAGCGATTAACGAATGGCTTTTCAACGTCAAAACCGATCTCTGTATCAAACCTAACGTGCCGATATTTACGATACGGCGCACGCGACCCAAAACGTAAAATACGCGTCCGCCCGTCCCCTTTGGATATTGATAACACCACGTGTGCCCCGGCGCCCGGGGTGCCAGCACGAAGTGTGGGCCGCAACGTTACAACCGTTACACAGTCTGTTGGCCGGGACGGACAGGCGGCACCGGCGGCACCGCGTACTCCGAATCCGTGTCGGCCGCGGCCGTTCTCGGGCGCGCCGTTTGGGGCCGTGCTGCAGTAATCCACCGGGGCCGCGGACGAACCGTTTTGCGGGGCGGCGAAATCGTAGCCGGTCGACGCGCGACCGCCGTACAGTAAAAATACCCGCGCGCGTGTTCTCGCACGGCCCGGACGCAGGGGCCCGACGCAATAACGCGCGGTGCTCGAAAAGCGCCGACCAAGCACACCCGGCCGGGGTGTGTGTGTGTGCGTGCGTGTGTGTGTGTGCGTGCGTGTCGGTCGCCGAGAACGGCTGCTTTTCGGGCGAGTCCGAGTGCTCTGTCGTCATACGCGAGACGGACTTGTAAACCGGTCGAAAACCGTTTGAATGTATTTCAACACGAACGAAAATACCCGTGAAAATCGCGTTTACCCGTTCAACTTGAATCCGACACCGAGTGTGAAAACACGCATTCGAATATTTCGGCGCTGTACCATTGTTTCCCTAAACGGAAATCTACGCACACAAATACTCGGAAACGTTTTTCGAATTTTCTCTCGATCGTTCGCTGTCGGTATCCGCGTCGGAGACGGAGACGGAAATACTGTTGAAAGTTCTATCGTGGTAGAACCGTACGACCACAAATCGTGGTTATTTAACTTAAAGAACCCGTTTTCACGCTCGTCCGATGGCGGATAGAACTCGAGAAATATACAATTACGGCATTAAGTACGAACCGGGGGAACAAAAGTCCGATGTCGGTGCTATGGGTCGCGCGTGCACAATAAAAGAAATAAAAGACGGCAGTCACGAATTTGTTTTTATTAAAATCACCGAAACGGCACTTATCCGAAATTCGAATGTAAAAGAAACAGCAGGCGAATTATCAAACACACCGGGAGAATACCATATAATGTCGGAAATAGCTAAACAATATGCAATTTAAAACGGGCATGAATTATGAATAGAAACGAAAATACGCGAAAATTAAAATTTTACCGCCAAGCAAAATAACAGTGGATTTAAATTGTTTCCAAAATAATAATCGGTACGTAATGTTTGTAGTAACTAAAAGTCGCGGCAGACAAAGCGCAACGCACCCGGACATGTATGCACCGCGTTAATGAACTTGAAACGGTTTTTGCAAAGAACGTGACTTTACGCACACAGCCACGAATGGATCGGGTCCGCGCGATAATCCAGAATGGGAAACGATTAGGCAAATGATACGGTACACATTTTCGTAGTACTGAAACGAATATAATAATTCGTTCATAAACCGAACACGCGGATGAGGAAAACCCACTATATTGAAACGATTACGCGATTCCGAGCCGGGGGGATATTCGGGGGTAAACCAGACAATGAGACGAATTAGAGAACGGTTTGGAAATCGGAAAGGGACCGAATAAGACGTGAAAAATTGCGCATCGCGTCGAAAGAACAGAGAGACCAACGGGAAAGTGAAACAGCCACTGGCGGTTACGTCCGTAAGTTCTGAAACCTTATAACGTCCGGAAACGACCATTTTTCGTTATCGAGGGACAAGCACACCTACAACCGATACGGTCGACCGGTTAATAGATTACACCCGCGTCGACGGATATGTTATGTCATCACGGACAATAATTCCCCCCCCCCCGGTGCAAATGCGATCGCACTCTTTCGAAATTCACAATAATATCGTATCCCCCCCAACTACGGGTTAAACCGCCGTGTTTAACCGTGCAGAACGACCGAATGGATCTTGTATTCTCTCTTGTAAATTACGATAAAAATAAATAAAATATCGTTTGAAAAGTATATCGATGAAAATAATACTTTCCTTGGACAGTCTATGTACATCGTATTTCAAATAACATTAAATAAAACCAGGCAATGTTTATGCGGACTCGGATGCAGTGGCTTATATAGGGGAGGGGTTTGGGGGTTCAACAACCCCCCCCCGCCCCCCGAAACGTATGGTCGGTACGGCACACGTGCGTATTTATGACTTTATTTAATCTATGTATTAACTAAAACCCAACATATTTTTTGTAACACCCCTCCTTAAATTAGTTTCTATATACGCCACTGATTGCCGCCAGTATCTCGTCACCAGACCCAGGTAATTTAAATACTTTAATATTCAGAGTATGAACACACATACAATGCGCGCAAAGTAATATTCAACAAAATTTGAAAGTTGTCAAACAAAGTAGCAACAAATTTTTTAGACGAGTTGCATACTTATATACAAATAAGAAAGATGTTAAGCATAGGAAACTATATTTTAACAGTTACTATAATTATTGTTATAAGGAATCGAAAAATACCAGTTTCGAAAGTGTGGACGAAAAAAGGTGGGCTATGCGATGTTGGTGCACCTTTCTTAGTTTTTGTTCTGTACTTGAAAATAATGATTTGCAAATTTTTAAACCTAACTTGCTAATTGTTGCTAATTATTTGCTAAACGTCGGTACAGGTCAGATTGATTTGAGAGAAAGTGGGCGGGCCATCTTCACGACCATTATGGATGGCACAGTATGAGGTATTAGAGGTGATAAACGACGAAAATATAAAAATACAGCAAAGTCGAAAAGGTGCAGTTGTACACAAAAATAACGTAAAGAAGTATTACAGTGATAAAAATCAATATTGTTCTGGGATGTATTCCGAGCGCAAAATAGTATTACAATAGTGCATGCGCGTAAGATGGATAATGGCCTTCTTAGGAAACTCTTTAAGTATTTTTGGACTTAATTCAGCATAGTCTGATGCATTTTTGGGGTTTAAGTAGTCATCTATTATTACTTTAGCAACTTCTAACGGAGTAAAATGTTTAATTTGTTCACGCGTTGCACTGAGCTGTTGACATTGCGCAATATCAAGCTCAGAGTCCATGTCGTGTGGTAAAAATACGCGTTTATTTCTGCGTTTACTTGTTCACTGCGAGTCCAGGTGCCATCTCCTTGCGGATGGGTGGTACCTGAACACGAGGTCTCTTCATATGTCTCGTAGCTTTCCATAACGAATAATCGGTATTATCCGTCGCAGAGAGACCACTGACGTATGATCTTAAAGTTTCATTTTTAATTTCGTTAACTTTGTCATAAAGTATTTTGCTTACACGGTTCCATTCGGTTCTATCCGCTGGATGCCGTGTATTATGCCCTATTCTTCTCGCTTGGTGTTTTTGTTGAACTAGATTTCTTATATCCAGTGGGTATGTAGTCTGACGTTTACCATTGGTGGCTGCCGGAGTTGCTGATTTTGCCCCATTGCCCCTGCAATGAGTGGTGTTGCTTTTCGGCAACAACCGATAAAAAAGGTTATTATCAGATATTTATCTGTGTTGGTTAGTGTATATTAGCTTTAATTATAACCAAGTACGATAATATAATGCGTAGTTTACTTTCAAACCGATAGATAGCAGCATGTGGTTGAAAAAATTAAACTATCGACGGACCGGTACACATTAATGTTCTTGGTTATTTTTCAATAATTTTAAATCATAAAATATTTCTATGGATAACAATAAAAATGTACCCGTGTTCATATATATCTAAACTTTAGATAATTTCTAAGGTTATACAGACAAGTCAAATATTTTACTTGTAAAACAATAATGCACGGTTGTTGCTCGTACGCAACAGTGTGCGTTTAGCACTACACGGGACATATATTTTTTTCGACGTTTTTCAGTGCCGTAGTTTTGCGTGTTTTATTAGTTTACTTTTTGCATCACAAATTCGTACATTCTTTCATTATGTGTAGAAGACATTTGTCTGATGGAGAAATTGTACAATTGATGGAAATTGATGAACCTCTATCCGATACTGAAGACGACTTGGAATATGGCGACGAACAAGGTATATATATATATAGATGATAATATAGTTGGTTTAGAGGCACTCGACAAATTTTTAGAAAAAATTGATGACGATGAATTAGATCCATTCCTTAATTCTATAAACTTATTAGATATTAATGTCGACATGGGAGATGTGGAATGTGAACCTGACGGCCCATCGATATCTCTTCCAAACTTTATTTCTGTACAGCCGCATACAAAAAATGAAATATATAAAACTTTAATTATAAAATTTAAGAAAAAAATCCAAATTTGATATAACCACGCCATCTTTTATTGCTAAGCTTCAGCCTAAAATAAGAAACAAAAAAAAAAACAAAAGTTGGATATTTCTTGGTAACATGAAAAATTGTCTTCCCAAAATGTAGAATTTACTGGTGACTTTGAACTTTTAGATTAAATATTAAATTTAAGTACTCCCTATCAAATATTGGCTACTTTTTTCAAGACGATTTAATTGAACATATTGTGTATGAAACATTGATATATAGCGTACAAATAAATGAGAATACAAATTTAAAAATAATTTCAAATGACGTGAAAAAATATTTAGGAATCTGTCTATTAATGGGCTTAGTAAATATTTCTAATATTCGAAAATAATGGTTTGCAAACTTAGGAAATCAAATTATTCAAGAAACGATGAGTGTCAACAAATTTGAACAAATTCGACAATTCATACACTTCAATAATAATAATAATAAGTTAGCTAAAAGCCACGTGAGCCATGACAGATTACATAAAATTAGGCCAGTTTGGGAGACTTTAAAACTAACACAAACTATGTAAATTACTTAACAATGTTCGTTTTTTTTATAAGAAATTTGATATCAAATTTGACGAAAATCATAAATATTACGGGTTTTTAAAATATGTACAACGCTCAAAGCTTCGCTCAGAATCGTTTTTCGTTAGCAATGATTAATCTTTGTGTATAGATATACATATAATTTCCATATAATATCCTACCTTTCTAACTTCTCGTCTATAACAGTGCCCCCACCCATCGTGTGAAATATGTCTGTCTTTTTTCGATTAATACGTTTTATTAATTTTCATAACACCCCCCCTTTGGAAACTTCTGGCTACGCGCCTGAGTACTATGTATTATTTTAATGTATAAATAATTTTTTTCCAATGTTAAGTGCGGTGTAATATGCCTAATAGTTAAACAAGTAATATTATCATGATTTCACTATTATCCTTAATATTTTTTTAAAGTAGAAACACCCAGAAACTTTTCGTTCAAATTACGATTACAATACGTTCAAATTTTCAGAAAAATCATTTGATTTATAATTTTCATTAAAATATGTAGGTTCCCATTTGAAAAATCAAAATTGATATCGCTACAGGTACTCCTTAAATATTATGGAAAATCTAAGTATTCGAAAATATCGGCTTTAACTACACTTAAAAATTTCAAAAATCAGAATTTGAAAATTTGTAAATGCAACGGGAAGCAATAAAACATTATATATTCTTATAGCTGAGAACTTCCTTTAAAAAATGCATATACTAGGTATAGGGTTGACTTGTGTATATTTTTACAGTAGTTTATGAAAAAAAAAAACAACACAAAAACGTTTGATTTTTTTTATGATTCATAACCGTTAAGGACTTATATAGGCAATATATATATATATTTTATTAAAATCTTAATATGTGAATTAACATTTAAATTAAGCATTTCATTTTTTTTTTTTCATTTTATACATTTAAATACGTTTTTACCGGCTTTCCCTTGTTTTTTTCGATTTTTCACATTTGTTGAGAAAACTCCTGAAAAAAAAAAAAAAAAATGACTTCCCTAAAGTACCTCTCCCCAGTCAGATTTTCTTTTAGAAAGAGTGCTACACTTAAAAATTGGTAGAATAATAATAAGATAAATCCATTAGTGAGGGGAACTTTTGAACTCCTCTTTCATTTTTACTTTTTTAAATATTTTTAAGTGTTTTTTTTTTTCAGAGATTTTTTGACGTATTAAAGCGCATTTTTGTGGATTATCAATCGATAAATATAATATAAATTGAGTCTCTTGTTGTCACATATTATTTCAAAAATGATGAAGTCACAGATATTAAAAGCACATTTATTATCGATATTTAATTCATAGGTATAGGTTATATATTATTAAATAATCGAAACTGGGTCAAAACTAATCATATGTGTAATTAATATTTATTATGTTCATGAATTGTTTTGAGTTAATTTATAAAAAAAAGAAAGACAAATAATTATATTGATTTAGTCTCTTTGAGAAAATCTAAAATTGCATCTTTAACTTAGAATCCAGCCTTTAACAAAAAAAAAAAAAAATGGACTATTCGTCCTTACACAATAATACATAGAGGAAAATGTAAATTGAAATTAATTTGCGAGTGGTCATTTTTTCGTTGATGAGTTGATAAACAAATTTTTCTTCCCCCTTTCCCCGTAATTCCGAGGGAAGGGATTGATGATACCAATGGTTATGGTTTGATGATAAGTATGTAGTACGAAAAAGTATATATTTTAGTGTTTGCTTTTTCATTCGTATTGATATACCTGCTTTTATAATGTGTGGTATTGTGGTAAACAAATTTACATAAATAGTCTGCACAATTGTCTCTGCAGTTATTATCCACCTAAGCCAAAAGGGAGTTGGTGAAAAAATATCAAATATGACATTTTTACCTTTTTTCTGACAGATTTTTTTCAACCTTATTCAAAAATACCATAAACGTAATAGATTTCATAATAGTTGTGGTTAAACTTATTCGTTTTTTTTTTTTTTTTTTTTTTTTTAACAGATATAATGATATGGAGCAAAAAAAGCAGTATCAAAAAATATTATAGTAATACCTATTACTTACTAAGCAAAATGACAGTGACTGATCAGTGATCACTATAGGATACGGAATTTTATGTAATAAAAAGTAAAAATATGTAAATATTTATGTTGTTATTTTCTAAAAAAACACGAAATATTTAACTTAAACATGCATTTAAAATTAATTTTTAATTTTAATCATATAAAAAAGTTTATATATTTATATTTAGGTTTGGCCGATTAAATTGAAATAAATTGGGTTTAGGATAAATTGTTTTATATTTTATCTATTCATTTTCATCGTTTTAGAAACAGCGTGGAGATTATAAAATTTAAATGTATGGGGGCGGTTGGGTTTAGAAATTGATTTGTAGCGGCTGAAGGAGCGTTCAACGTCGACCAAGGATAATGGGGAATATTTCAGATGGTAACAATTCAATGGATACATTGATGTGTTTTTAGTTTTATTCAGAATGATGTTTTTAATAATATAATAATTGTTAGTATAAATATTTCTGTTAAATTTAATATATCCCAGGTGATTGATTTCAGTGGGTACATTCGTTATCTCGGAAAGTATAAACTTTTTCCGAAATTTGTTTTCTAAAACATTTAAGAAACAAGCTGCTCTACAATTTTATATTTATTTTATTTTTTGTCACCCTTATTTTCGGGGGTAAAACCACTAACTACTTTTAAAATGGCAACCTACATTAAAAATTCCATAATAGACGGAGTATTAGTATTTAATATCAGTATTAATTAGAATATTAATATTTAGTATTTTAATAAATATTAGTGTTGGCATTTTTGATTTCTATCAAACCATTAACCAGAAATTTCACTTTTAAATTTGGGTTGAAGAAGAGTAGTGCAGTGTTATTTGTGTGGCGATACGGCGTGCGACGTGTTATCAATGAACCACCATTCTTCTCTAATCTAAAATTAAAAGTGGAATATCTCGTGAACGGCTTGACAGAAATAAAAAATTTCAATACTCAAATTTATTTTAACTAATATTTCATTTATTTATGAAATTTTTAATATTGATTGCCATTTGAAAATCAAAACTAGGTAGTGATTTTACCACCCAAAAAAAAAGTGTTACACAAAATTACATAAATATAAAATTGTAGAGCTGGTTTTTTCTTAAATGTTCTAGAAAACAAATTCCGAAAAAAGTTAATACTTTCTCAGATAATGAGTGTATCCACTTAAATGAATCACCTTGTATGACCTTATATTTATGAATTTATAAATTTATATGCAAAATATTTACCAAATAAAACGTACTAATTGGTAAAATATTTAAAAATATGTATTTACATAAACATATGATGTAGAAATACGTGAAATAAAAAAAAAAGTCATATTTTATACAGTGTGTTATAAGACGTGTTTATTTTTAATCAGAATTAAGAAATCTGCATTCAATAAAATTATGTATTCACGTCAAAATCTGCGCCCAACTGATCACATCAGGTATATGGTAATTTTTTCGCTCGGTATTGGTTTATAATGTATTTTGTTTAATATTGTTGTGAATTATGAAAACTAGGCGATCCAGAAAAAGTTATTTTTCTCAAAACTATCACAATGTCACCTAGGAGGGCAGCAGCATGTGTAACTCTACTTAGGAAAACAATACCGTATTATTGTTAAAATAAAATAAACTTCGCGTAGCCTAGTTAAAAAATAATCGATTTATTACTGCTGCAGTGTTCGTGACTTATAAAAACCGTAAAGCAATTAATACATGTATATATTTTTTTAACATTTTTATCCTTATTGACTAACAATGAAATTTTTCGTATGGGTTTTTTTTTATTTTTGTTTCAATTTTAATAATGTATTGTGTTTTTTTTTTACACGTATTAAAATTTCCATAATAATAATAATAATAATAATAATAATAATAATAATAATAATAATAATAATAATAATCATCATAATAATCATAATAATAATGATAATAATTATAATAATTATAATGATAATAATAATAATAATAATAATTATAATATAATTAACTAGAATGAATTGCCTATTATTATATAATATACGGTATTCGAATTTCGATTTCCATTACACTTATCGGCTACGTCTGCGACTTGGTTATATTGTCTTGTCCGTCAACTGAGTTTGGGCTGTTCCGGCCACCTGAATTTGACGATTGGATGTGTTGAGATTCACTTGTGTCCATCCTGTCCATGCCGTCCGTCTGATGGACTACACTGTTGAAGTACCTGTCTGTAAACGCAAAAACCATGGCTGGTTATAAATCTTATTATTTTGAAATTTCAGATCAGAAAATAATAAAATAATGTAGATTCTTTCAAAATCGGTGCGTCTATTTTCTTCATATTTTGTTTGAGAGATTTATTACATTTTTCAGAAAAAGTTTTAAAAATCTAGGACAATCGCCCGGCGGTCAATAAATCAAC